AAAAGTTCCCATCATCAATTCTTTCAACTTTTTTGTGCTTTTGTGCTTGTTGTCTTTTATATCATAGTTTTCGTTCCATAGGACTGTCCGGACGGGCCCCGGTTTGGAAATATGACCTCAGCATAAACAATACTCATAGGAAATTACTCTACTACTTAATAAATTACGGAGATAATGTCCGGACGTTTCGTGTGACATCCACCACTCTTCTTCAGCGTCACTAACAATGTAGATAGAGTTTGAATGTCCTATGAATCCACCAACATGTGCTACTTTGGGGAAGCGCATTTCTTATCAATACAATCTTTATCACCTATGCTTTCTAATGTACAATCTCCAAGCAGATCTTACGGTGGCCACAAAGCAATATAAAATGGGCATGGCAGTTTCCAACATGCCTTCGTTTAGATCTAACCTCCTTGAATAGACCGATTTAGAATCGGAAACTGGTTAGCTAAAAGGTAATATGAAACGTCATGTTTCTCCACTTTTTCATTATCCGGTTCGGAAGTTATATGGGACATGTTCCCCACTGGGGGTAGATATATCTACAAACACATCAAGAGTAATAAGGGTTGTATCCTGTCACAAGTGCAGTAACACATCATGAATGTACGAGCTCATCGGTTCAATGCCCGGGCAACACTCTAGGATGATATCAGCTGATGTTTACCAGGTACACACCATTACGCACCCTTACAGGACATTAGGGACAGGATAACAGTGTTTGGGCCATGTGGGCAAAATATTAGTCACGCTAAATGCTGTGTAAACCGTGTATTTACAGTTGTGACAAGGCAAATATATACACCCGCGTATTTATCCTAATCTAATGTAGTTAACCGTATTTTAAATGCCAATGTTTCAGGCTTTTTCTGTCCCAAGTCAGTATTACGTCCTAACACACGGCTTAAATGTGTATACAATGGATTATAAGTGGGCCGTAAATGTGTATACAATGGATTATACGTGGGCCATAAGTTCGTTAGTTCAATATATAGGCTGCATATGTTGTTCAAATAGTTCCTCTTATTTCTCAGGGGCGACTTGTAAAGGTGTTAATACGCTCAGTCCACCCAAGTGTAAAATGGGTACCTGACTTCAGTTGGGGAGGTAAAAGGCAGTGGAAGGAGAGGGATGGGCTATGTCTTCCAGTATTGTGCCCCAGACATGACAACCAACTGCCCTACGACCGAATAAAAGGCTACGAGACTACCTTTACCTTTTATTCTCCAAGCTAGAAGTTCTTTTAGTAGATTAGCCTGGTTACCAGACCTATTTAAGCTCTATATCCTCTCCGCAATCAGTTACGGAGAGGATAGACTCGGGAAGTAAAAAGGTCTGGTAACCAGGCTAGTAGCAGACAGGGAGGTGGAAATGATTAGAGTGACGATCAAGAGGTTTCCAAAACATCGGTGGTGTTCTAACGATGTTTGAAATAAGGCCGGTCCATTAAAACCTGACCCTAACCTGACAGGCACCCGCTACCATAACCTTAAAAACACCGGCAAACAAGGATGTGCTCGTTAAAGTGTGGATCCGATCCACAGCGACTATAAACATGTTTTATGTCTCCTCTTTCCTGTTTTCCTTGTTTTAAGGACTGTTCCCGCAGGAAAACTACAGGTAGTGTACTGGAAAGGTTAATGAAATGGTCCCATCATCTTCACGTTTTATCACACTCATCTTTTAAAAGTAATCATATCCCTAAACATCTACATAATCTTGGTAATAGATAATCTTAATTAACAAGTTTATGAACAGTAAAGTGAAATGGCCCTCTTGTTTGGGAGTAAAGACGCGATCACCGTAAGTCGTAGTACGTCGTGCGATTATTGATGTTGTAAACTTTACCGACTATGACAGAACCAACTTAAGAGTACCTCGACAAGGATCTAATACTTTAACAAGGCAGTTGAATATCGTGCGACATACGTAAGACTAATCCAAGAATGCCCCCAACTTGCGATCGTACAACCACTATGTGACCAGGTCCTAGCCACTACCAGGAAAGAGCAGAAATTGGCCAAATTAGGGCCAAATAGAGAGATAACATGCCGCTAGAGAGTACAGTTTGCCGCACCCAAGGCTAACAAGGTCCTAAATTGTGTATTTATGAAACGCATCTTATCTACAACGTTAACATTTGTAAACATACCTTGTCAACGAACTTAAAAGTCCCAATCCGGACTTCTGACTAGATGGTGGAAAAATCCGTAGAAACCATAGCCAGGTACTAGGTCCAGGAAACTAGACAGACTCGCGAGCCGTGTATGGTGGTTTGGTCTGATATCGTCCAGGTCTGCCCTGTTCTGTGTCAGGGTGTGTATTTTCTCTGTCTGACCCGCTAGCTTGTGTGATGTTTCACGGCTAAAAGCGGAGCATGACGACCAACTATTACTCCTCATTATCACGACGTTTCCCAGAACATCGTTAAACACGGAGGGAGACTTGGGAAGTTCTGATGGAATTTAGATAGACTCAGAGTACCACCATCACCCACGAGAAACAAAAACAGCACATATGATCAAGAGAAGACGAAATTGTTTTAACAAGAGCGTTGTTCATGGCTAGCCCTCCGGCTAGTTGTCTAGCCCTGGTCATATGTCTTCATACAACCGAACAAATGAAGTAAGTCAAATCAAAGAGCAAGATTTAGAAACATTGCGTAGTGTACTAGAAACGACAGACATTATTAGACTAAGGGGCTCTAGTGTCTTCTGACAAGAAATAGCCATGCCTTCAAGTACCAGAGTTATCAACCAAGGATTGAGGTGTTCAAAAATTCATTCTGTCCTAGAACTATCGCAGAGTGGAACTCACTGTCACCAAGTACAGTAGGGGCATTGTCATTAGACAGCTTTAAACAATGTCTTGAGTTAGATGTTCAAGGGTGTAACAAGTCGTTGGGTGTAATGTAGCCAGCTGCCGCCGCGCCGCGTGCCTGCGAAGCTGGTGTGTTACGCCGAAAGCCGTTATACCGGCTATACAGATACAGGTACAGGTACAGAAGTTCGTTCCAACAAGTCTTTCCTTACAAGTACAGCAAAACACATTCTTTCCAGTGATTAACTCCACTAAGCCTACCCGGGGCTCGAGCATACGTGTGCATGTAATACCGACTCCAACAAAAGCTCCCTGTCTAATTTACGAACGTTTGAAATATGGGGTGGATAGGGGCTTACTTAGTAATTCATTCGCTTGGTTGCTTATTTGATTTACACACAGCCAAGCGTTTTAGCCCTAAGGACATGTAGGAAATAAGGAACCAGCAAAACCTAGAATAGAGCTGTGAGTAACTTTCGTAGTAGCAACATTTCTGTAGTCTCGTCACGTGCAATGTTGTCACAGGTCACTCTTATCTTGTCTCTCCATCTAAAACGCTTCTAGCCTTCATTATGTTGACACGAGTTGATTGTAGAAACAAGACCCGTGTCTTCAGCTGCGTTTGTATTTCAATCGCCGTGAACTTGGCGCACCTTGGCTGTACATATATGTACTTCCTGGCTCAAAGACTGGCCCAGTGTCCGCTGTGACGCTCTAAGGGTAAGGGGTAGGTGAGAAAATACACAAAACAGGTCCGAGCGACATTGATAATGTCACGTCGAGGAATTCTAAATTCTAAGAGCTCCCGACAGGCTTGTGACAGACAACAGGGCGGTTGGGTTACGTCACCCATGCTATGCCCTGGGATATGGCTTACTTCCATAAATACTCATGATCACTGCAACAACAGAATTTCATCCTATCCAAGCTTGTTTTCCTCGACAATATTGTCAGCTTGGAAGGCAGTACGTGGCTTCAAGCCCCGAGGCGCATTTTTTCCAAGTCGAATTTCTTGGCGCTAGACAAAACGACGAGTTCCGGAGATATGCACAAGCCTTTAATTATGTTTACCTCAGGTTTACCTGTTAGGCTTAATTAATATCCAAGCAGATACTACGTTGGCAAGGCTCTATCTAATGGGCAACTTGCCAGTGTCCATTAGCTAGCCTCTACCAGGCTCCAGGAAGCGGCTGGAAAGAGTAGAGATCGGCCAGAACGACAAAAAACATACCAGGGGAGTGGGGTCGCGCTGAGAGAACATTTTACCGCTACCAAACTGTTATCTCAGCGCTACCCAACTTCCATGGTAATATAATTTTATTTCTACTCCTTCCAGACTCTTCCCGAAGCCTGGTAGAGGCTATTCACTAGCCACTTCGGACACTGCTTGGCCGATTGGATGCCACACCACCGTGGGAGTCTGATTTGAGATTAGTTGGACTAAACTGTGCCAGGCAGAGGCTTCTGGATTAATCATTTCCTGATGGCGAGCCGGCGTGTGGGCGGGCCGTCCTCTGTCATGTCACAGAAATAGAACCATTTCTCAGGACCAGAAACCCTCAGGAAACTGTGGTCATGTTCAACGTTAGCAGCTCGGTTCGGCACATTACCGCCAACAAATTATATCATTACATCAAGATAAGATCTGTAATGCCTTAAGCCATAAATAGCAGTCTGAGGCTTTTGAAATGGCAGGGTATTTGGGCGTCACTATTGACACATGAATGATTGCAGGCAGGCAAAACAAAGTAGATTTACCACACAAAGGGCCTGGCTAAAACCTTTGTACAGCATAAGAGGTGGCCTTGGCTTAATTATTATGTACAACTCTTTACTTTACATTACAATATCTTAGGACCACTCTTTAACTAGATTACTGTACGTGGTAATTGTGGAGAGAGGTAAACTATACTGTGCTAGCGCTCCAAACGAATGTTGACGTACTACTAAGTTACAAGTGACGGTAAGTAAGTTAGTTACTATACCCGTGGCTCGATTGGTAAATTATGTACAGCACTACAGCTCTTTATACTTTACATTACTTTCTACAATATCTTAGTACTACTCTTATATACTATATTACTGTACGTAGTAATTGTGGGGAGAGAAACATACTGTGCTCCAAACGAATGTTGACATACAACCAAGTTACAAGTGACAGTAAGTTACTATACCTGTGGCTCGACTCTAGGACCACCGGCATTGCAAGTTCACCATTGAAGTTCGTCGTGTTTTTCGCCAGTACACAGAGACTGTGGCACAGTCGTAGACTCAGAGTTTACCTTGGCTTCCGAGTTGCCACTACACTACCAAAAATGCCAATCTTGTTTTTCTTCAGAGAAGAAAACTTTTCTTCCACTGAGAAAATTATTCTTCACCCAAGAAAAAAATCTTGTCCATGAGACAAGAATTTCAAGAAACTGCATTTTAGCATATTTTTCTTGTGGTAAGATTTCTTTTCTTATATATCTTGAACTAAACACCCTTAGAATATTATTCTTGCAGTAAGAATTTCTAAGTTTTCTAGAAAACCATTCTGTACACAAGAAAAGATTTCTTGAACTAAGATCTAACTCTTCTTGTAGCAAGAAAAATATTCTCCCCACAAGAAAAGATTTCTTGAACTAAGAGCTAAGTGTTCTTGTAGCAAGAAAACCATCCTGCCCACAAGAAGAGATTTCTGGAACTAAGATCTAACTCTTCTTATGGCAAGAAAACCATTCTGTACACAAGAAAAGATTTCTTGAACTAAGAGCTAACTGTTCTTGTAGCAAGAAAACCATTCTCCCCACAAGAAAAGGTTTCTTGAACTATTATCTAACTCTTCTTGTGGCAAGAAAACCATTCTCCACGCAAGGAAATATTTCTTGAACTAAGATCTAACTGTTCTTGTAGTAAGAAAACCATTCTCCCCACAAGAAGAGATTTCTTGAACTAACATCTAACTCTTCTTGTGGCAAGAAAACCATTCTCCACGCAAGGAAATATTTCTTGAACTAAGATCTAACTGTTCTTGTAGTAAGAAAACCATTCTCCCCACAAGAAGAGATTTCTTGAACTAAGATCTAACTCTTCTTGTAGTAAGAAAACCATTCTCCCCACAAGAAAAGACTTCTTGAACTAACATCTAACTGTTCTTGTGGCAAGAAAACCATTCTGTACACAAGAAAAGATTTCTTGAACTATGAGCTAACTGTGCTTGTAGCAAGAAAACCATTCTCCCCACAAGAAAAGAAATACAATGTATATAGTGCTACCTAAATATACTGTAAAACAGACAATAATGTATAGCAACTAAATGTTATTTTGAAAAGCATTTGGACAGTATAGAGATGTTTATTATCACATTGATTTTTGTACAATGTATCTAATTAAAAATATAAAATCAGTCCATCAACATTCTTGGAATGGAAACAGTTTAACAGTAACTTTCAAAATATTATACGATGTATAACTAACATTAGCCATTATGATTTCAGAATACAGATCGTATCACATTCTGATCAGAAGCATATTCAGCAAAAAACTAGCAGTTTTCGCAAATAGAATTGACAAAAGTCGCACCCTTTGGACACCTGAAAAACAACAGGAAAGACCTGTATTAGTTTGCATGCGAGCACTGAAGGCAACAAGTCAAAAGAGGATGCTAAAATACTATTTTTATTACTTGGAGTAAACAATTTAAAATTATATCATAAAGCACTGTAATAAACTTTACTATACAATACACCAGAGATATATGATTTGACTTTGAAATCAACCCCAATGGCGTTGTAACAATATTTTGGCTATGAAGTATAAAAACAAATGTCAACAGATCTTATAGGTGGGGAGGGGGGCGCGCACTTACCTTCAATCTGTTTGGTTTCATGCTTTTTCTGTTGCAAAGTTTGTTTCTTCAGCAAGCTGACCACGATCACCATTGCTTCACATGTACACAAGGTCCTTTTTGATTTGATTTTGACTTCAAATCTGACATGAGTCAGTAACTGACAAAAATAAGTAACCAGCGCGGCTCCTACATTTGAATTATGTTCAAAACCCCCTAACTGCATTCTGGGATTTGAATCAACCAATCAGGGGTTTAGAAAAGGTCACATGACAAGAAAAAACTAGAAAAAAGTTCTTACATCATCTTGAACATTTCCAGGCAAAATAAGAATCATCTTTCTTAAACTTTCTGGTATTTTCTTAAATGTTGCTAAGAAAAACAAGAATGGCCTTTCTTAAACTTTCTAGGGAAGAAAATCAAGAATGTTTAAGAATATAATACTAGCCATATCTCCAGCCTAATCAAAGATTAATTTTATATGAGACTTTCTTGTTTTTTTCTTATCAGTATTTGTCAAGAAAGATAAGAACTTAATTCTTGTATTTTCTTAAATGTTGCCAAGAAAAACAAGAATGATCTTTCTTAAGCTTTCTAGTCAAGAAAAACAAGAAACTTTATGAAAGAAACAGTAAGCAGAGCTTTATTCTAATAATAGATTTAGATAATTAAATTTCTTGCTTTTCCAATCAGTGTTTGCCAAGAAAGGCAAAAACCAAATTCTTGTATTTTCTTAAACATTGCAAAGAAAAACAAGAATGGCCTTTTTCAATTGTTCTAGGTAACATGAACAAGAAAGTTTTTGACATACACAAGAAAAAAAAACTTAAATCTGATCACTTTGATGTCAGGTAAGAAAGAAATCTTCCATGGAGATTAAATAAGAAAATTTAACTAAGTCTGAGGGAATTTTAAGATTAAAAAAGAATTAAAATTCTTGTCCTTAGATTAAAAGAATTTTAATCTTGTAACTTAGAATCATCCCTAGAAATATTGTCTTTACTAAAGAAATTTCAAGATTAAAAGAATTCTAATCTTGTAAGTTAGAATCTCCTCTAGAAATATTTCTTCACCAAAGAAAAATCAAGATTTAAAGAAGCCTATTTTAGAAAAATTATCTCCACTCAAGAAAAATGAAAAAATTGTTCTTGGTGCAAGAATGTAGGTATACAGAAAATTAATTTTGTTCTTATTTTTTTCTTATTATTCTCCCCCAAAGAAAAATTTTCTTCCCATGAGAAAATAAGAAAAACAAGAAAAAGCATTTTTGGTAGTGTAGCTAGAGGGAAAAACCCACAAGAGAGGTCAGAGTTAACTTGACTTCCGGTCGGTGGACGAGCTCGAGCTAGGCGCGCTGTTTGGTCGTAAATTATACTACAGGACCCGGGGACGAGAGTTCAGGACACACGGGGGCAGGGTGATGACGTCACAGTGTGGGTAGCACGGGGGGACAGCCCTGGAGTGGGAGGGGGGTTGTGCAGGGAGAAGCTCTGGAGACGATGTTGATAACACGAGGTGGGATGGCGTGTCGACTGTTTCCCCTTGATAGTCTCCAAGCAGATGTTGGGAAGGGGCAAATCGTCGCGTCTTTCGTCGAATTCCTAGCTTAGGTTGGCCAGGAGCCCCTCACCATAAAGACAAAAGTATCGAATCAGACTTCTTGTAGAAGGTGGCGTATTGTCCTAGCCTATCCTGTTTATCTTTCATTTTGTTTTCCTGGAAAGGTGCCTTCTTTTCTTTGCACCCTAATTCCGCGTAAACTAGGTGAGTGCTGATTGGCTACCGTCACGTCTCACCAGATGGTCTTGCCGTTTGATTGGTCTGCGTCATCATGTCCGTAGTCAAGATTTCGTTCGAGTGGCTGGACACAAGGGCATATCTCCCCCTCCCGAATTTTTAAACATCCTTTTATAGCTATTTTAGACAGTATTTCACTCGAAGACAGTATACATTTTCGTACCTGCTTAGAAAGGATACAGGGACTGTGCAACAGATTGTGCACACCTCAGTAAGTCAGTTCCAGGAAAAGTTGACACATAAATGACATATATTTTCAAAACATGACTCATCCTACGCTTTAGACCACAGCTGCCTGAGGCTTTTTTCCAAGTATCCTTACACAAAGACCTCCTACTCACAAAGCCTCCAGCCTCATATTCCATTCAAAACGGCTAAAAGCACATCTGCCGCCACGGCTCACTCTTGTTACCATGGTGATGGATGATGTGTCATTAGATATAAGATTACCGTCTTTAAAGCCATAGAAAAGCCGCGCTGTAAAGAGGTCAGTGGGTCAATCGACAACAGGGCATTTTACGTTGTTATCATGCCTTACGCGGATAAGCTTGTCTCCAATTTTAGTTATTCATCATCGACTTGCCTTACGATCAATATACGCAGACGAGTAAGCGAATGAAATGATTATGTATTATGTGCGTGGATCGATCATACAATTATCATGAAATGATCTACAAGATCAATAAAGATTCTATTTTTTTCGAAAATAGTTTCATCAGGTTGGTAGGACATAGGATTTTCTGAAGCTCTGAAGAAGGTGTCTGATAGGCACCGAAACGTAAGCTAGGTGAGAGTCTTTATTGCTTGTGTAAAAGAAAATCCCAACATTCCAAAATTCGTTTTGATAACAATTCTCAGAAGGTAACATGTCGCGCATTACACTTGTCAATGTCAATCTTCCTGCTCATTTCATGGTATTGAGGTTTTCGCTCGAGTTTTTTTATTCAACCAGAGCCTTCAGTGTACAGCTTTTAGTCACCTTTCCCCCCACAACTTCAAAGCGATATTCACTAGCGTGTTACTTTTGTATCAAGGGTTAAGTTCTCTCTTTTTTTTGCTCCAGAACCTTTCAGTCGACTACCATTCATGTATTCTTAAAAGCATTGCCCTAGTAAAGAAAGGTAGGAAGAAAAAAAGATGAATGCCTGACCTAGATACGTCCGCTTATCAATATTCATGCCTAACAGACGGTAACATAATGAAAACGATCTGTATTCCCTCAGCAATCTCCGTCGGTGGAAAGACGAACCAACTAATTTTCCCTGAACCAATCAAGCATAAGAAATGTACCGACTGGCGTCATAAGGAATGATTGAAGACCAGCGTCATTCAGGAAGTTATCCGTGTGTGGAAGATTAGATGAGCTCTTTATTCATACGCTTGCAGCCAGTGTCTGGCTCTTCTGTATTGAAGCAGAACGTATGTGTCGCGTTTTGTAAATTATGTTCACATGATATGAGCAAGGATATGAGTCATTAACTTCATAACGGGGAAGACTATATTCCCTTTAGAAATACAGACTTGAGGCCATATCGTACATGTGTAGGATGTATACACCATGAAAAAGACGGCTGTGTTGTTGGTATAACAGTTCATGATGTTTCACTTGTTCTATTTACTTCCGG